TTGTTTTCTCCTCCAGATTGTTCATCCAGCCTGTCCTATCCAGACAGGCCTGCTACATGTATTATTTATAGGCTCCTAAAAGTTCATGAAAAAATTCCATCACCTTTTCAATTGTTTTCCAAACACTCTGTGGAAACCTACTTGTATGTGTGTACATATATGTATTTGTCTGTATAATGCACATACATATACATAATATTTCCATGATACATGGACAGTTTTTAAAGTATAGGACCTTTTTAAAAAGAGATGATAAAGACATACATCTAAGAATCCAGTGAAGAAAAGATAAATCTACAGGGAATAATTTCCTAACACAGTTATCACTTCAACTTTATCATATATCTATTATCATCTAACGAGGAATCTTAGTAGCATAGTGGTTACAAGTTGGGCTGCTAACCAAGAGATCAGCAGTTCGAAACCCACCAGCTGCTTCTGGGAGAAAGGCAGGGCTTTCACCTCCAGTAAAAAGTTAAAAGTCTCAGAGAACCCCAGGGGCAGTTCTACCCTATTCCACAGAGTCCCTGTATGTTGGCATCTCATCAATGGCAGTGAATGTTTTTTTTCTTTTTGGTATTAACATCTATTCTCACTTCAACATGATCTGGGTATGTATTTCATGCCTGGTGTGGGGAGAGACCATGACATATAATTATAATCATAAAAATACACTCTATAAAGATTAATGGAGACTTAGAGGCTGCGAATTGGAGAGTGGGCATCACAACTCTGAGAGATCCCCCTCTGAAGGCTTCTCCCCCCACAAATCTCTTCACATGTAAATTAAAGGCCTTTTGCCTGAAAGTAAACAAGAGGCCATCTAGCCCAGAAGCAACATGGAAGCAGCAGAGGGGACCAGGTTTCAAGCACCAAAGGCGGGGGTGGGGAAAAAAAAAAATCATCGTGAATGAGAGAAGCACGTGATGGGGACCCAATGCCCATCTGTAGACAACTGGACATCCCTTGCAGAGGGGTAGTGGGGAGGAGATGAGTCACTCAGGGTTCAGTGTAGCAATAATGAAACTCACAACCTTCCTCTAGTTCTTAAACGCTTCCTCCCCCCCACTATTATGATCCCAATTCTACCTTGCAAACCTGGTTAGACCAGAGGATGCACAGAGGTACAGATGGGAACTGGAAACACAGGGAATCCAGGACAGATGAACCCCTCAGGACCAGCGGTAAGAGTGGAGATACCAGGAGGGAAGGGGGGTTAGAAAGGGGAAACCGATCACAAGGATCTACGTATAACCTCCTCTCTGGGGGATGGGCAACAGAAAAGTGGGTGAAGGGAGACGCCGGGCAGTGTAAGATAAAGTAATAATTTATAAATTATTAAGGGTTCATGAGGGAGGGGGGAGCGCGGAGGGAGAAGGAGGGGGAAAAAGAGGAGCTGATTTCAGGAACCCAAGCGGAAAGCGAAATTTTGAGAATGATGAGGGCAACAAATGTATAAGTGTGCTTTACACAATTGATGTATGTATGGATTGTGATAAGAGTTGTATAGCCCCTAATAAAATGATTTAAAAAAGAAAAAAAATTAAAGGCCTTTTAAGTAAACAGTTTGCACACATAAGACTTAGTTTAAAAGACAAATGACAAATTTGGGGAAAACATTTGCAGCACACATAGTAACCTGCCAACTTCCTGAAGAAAAACTTCTTGGGAATCAATGGGAAAAATACCATCAAATCAATAAAACCCTATTATCTTCCAATGTCATTTTCCCATAAGCTTTTTTATAAACCATGAACTCATCTATTCAAACATTAAACACAAATGGCTTAAATGAAAATGTTCGATACTTCTAACTAGCAAAATGCAAATTGTTACTCAATAAAGCCCTACACACATAAAAGTGAGTCAAAGATACAAGTTGGTAAATACTTAGTTGTAATACAAGTAAATACAAGTTGGTAAATACTTAGAAAAACCAAATGATGAAAGCATCATCCCAGATGCCCACTGGGGCATCCCCAGTGGCACCCCCTCAAGGCAACCATGTCTTTTATGGTAACTACTCTCTTTAAATAAAGAAAAAAAAGCATGAAGACATAATGCTTTACAAAGCTTCAAAAAGTTCATGAAAAGATCCCATTATTTTCTTAATCCGACTTGATCATAAACTTTTTAAAGCTCCCTCATATATCCCTAAATCTTGCCCAATTTGCAATTTGGTATTTTAGGTTATTATTCTGTACACATCCTTGCGGTATTTCTTTTATGCTTAAAAAACACATCTACATTTTTTTCTGTACAGGACTGCATTTACTCTATCCATTTGACCATTGTGAGGCATCTGGGTTATTTCCAGGGTTAGGCAGGGTTCTTGTACCTGGGGAACACGCCAACTTCTCTAGGGCTGACCCAGGAGAAGGAATGTTTGGGTGAAATGGGGTTTGTGTTCCTTCGCCTTAATTTAGGTAATCCCAGCTGTTTTCCAAAATGCTTGCTCTAATTTACATTCCACATGGTATCTCATTGTGGTTTTAATATACATTTTCCTAAAGACTTAAAGAAGCAAAGGCCTTTCATTTGCTAATTTGTCATTTTATTTATATCTTCAATGAAGACTGAATGAGGAATTCTTCAATGGGGAATTTTCAATGAAGTTGCTGGCCTATGAAATACAATTTTTCACCCATCAATTAAGCAATGATCCCGAAATTAGAAATGATAGTTCCAGTGAGAAGATAGAAAAACAGGCATTCCTCCTGATGAGTATAAATCCTGTGAATGTTTAGTAATCCAGTGATCTCCTGGTAAATACATAAAAGAATCTTACAAGAATGGTCACAGTATCTTATTAAACTCCAAAGCTACTGCCAGCAAGTTGATCCCAACTCCCAGCAAGCCTACAGGACAGAAAAGAATGGCTTACTCCCTGGTTGTTCTGACACTACATCTTTCCAGGAGCAGACTGTCTGCCTCATCCTTTCTCAGCAGTGTGGCTGGTAGATTTGAACTGCTGACCTGGTGATTGGGAGGCCACAGAAATAGGAGACTTAAGTAGTTATGTGTATCTCAACCTAAGAGGCCTCGGTGGTACAAGAGTGAAGGAATCCCAGCTGTGATCTGAACCCACTCACAGACTCTGAAAGGAGCCCTGGTGGTATAGTGTGCTCTGGGCTTCAATCCATGTGGTCAGACTAGGCTTTAGACTCTCAGAAACAGTTCCAGTCTTGGAAGCTCACAGGGGCAATTCTACTCTCTCTTATAGAGTTGCTATGAGTTGGCATCAACTTGATGGTGATAAGTTGTTTTGGGTTTTTTTTCTTCAACATTTTATTGGGAGCTCTTACAGTTCTTGTAACATTCCATACATCAATTTTATCAAGCATATCTGTACATATGTTGCCATCATTTTCTAAACATTTACTTTCTATTTGAGCCCTTGGTTTCAGCTCCCTCCCTCCACTCCCCCCAACACACACACACACACACACCCATTTTGTTTTTTAAATAGAGTTCTAGGGAGAAGGCAACCCACCCCACCGATACAGAGCCTGGCCATAACAACCCTCTGGGGAAGTTCTATTCTGTCACTCGGGGTAGCCATGAGTCTAATGGCACCCAACAACCACCCTTCAGCAGGATTCCAGGCAACGGTGGGAAAAGAAATTGGGTCATTCCACAGGCTGATTTTGAATAAGCTGCAGGACAGTATGATGAAAAGCACAAGGTACAGCAGAGCATGAACACCAGCTTCCTACAAAGGCAGTAAAATCAGAAGGCTTCACGAGTAGGAGCCTGGTGTCACCAAGGGCTAGTGTTGGGCTGCTAACAGCAATGGTTCACACCCACCAGGTCAATGGTTCACACCCACCAATTGCTCCATCGGAGAAAGACATGGCGATCTATTTCCCAGCCAGAAACCCTCTGGAGCGGCAGTTCTACTCTTGTCTTTTAGGGTCACTAGCAGTCTGAATCAATTCCACTGGGGTGGAATTTCCCCCTGACTTACACAACTAAAAGGATCCCTGGTGGTGTGGTGTAGTGGTTATGCATTGGTATGTTATTCCCTAAGGTCAGCGGTTCGAAACCACCAGCTGCTCCTCTGGAGAGAAACGGGGCCTTCCATAAAGAGTTGCAGCCTCAAAAAAACTCACGGGGACAGTTTGAGCCTGCCAGCATCGACTTGATGGCAATGAGTTTTTGCTTTTTTTACATACAGAAACGTACATTTTTAGACTATCTTCTGACTGGGGCCTAGGAATAAGGTAGCCTGGGAGGAAGAGAATTGGGAGTGGCCTGGAAGAATCTTGTTGCAACAGGTGGGAAGTCTTCCCCCAACTGGACTATCAACCACTCAATTTCCTTCCCCACAAGGCAACCCAAAAGAGCCCCCGGAAGTGTTCCCTTAATACCCGTAGTCGGGGGTCTATATTAAAAGCAGGTGGGCACGAAGAGTAGCCAAAAAGTGAATGAATGGTGCGTGGAACTTACTCATCTTCCTCCTCCTGCTGCTCCCGCTTGTGTCTCTTCTTACTGTGAACCGGAACCCTGGGGAAGCAAGCGGACAGCACGGTCAGGGGGCGAGGGCAGCCCGCGCCCGGCCCCGGGCCCGACAGGTGGCCGCAGACGGGAAGCGAAGCCGCTTCTGGCGGAGGTCCGGAGGGTCACCTGGCGCGGCGCGAGCGCCGCGGGCAGGGGTTCTGTCCCCACCGTGCGGAGATGACCGTGTCCGCGG